AGGGGCCTGAGTTTTTCCAAATTCTTTGTCTCGTTTGTGGTAGCTAGCTCTCCATCTCTCTGGACCTGTTTCCTCAATCATAAAATGGGAGGCCCAAGGGGCACTGTGAATCAGTGAGGGGAGTCCAGGCGCAGGGGAGGGGTGGTACAAGCTGAATAAGCTTCTGGTAAGGAGCTGAAGAAGTCGCAAATTGTTATGTGCCCTCTCTGGGGAATCAGTGACTTCTAAGTTTCTCTACAAATAGTCTGTGGGGCTCAAGAGTGGAAGTCAGTTTGTGTCTATGGCACTGTGTCCACACCTGCTATGTGCAGAGTGCTCTGCTTCATGTCAGGGCTGGGGCAGGGGCGGGGGTAGGGCAGGGCGGGGCATGGCAAAACTGCAAATAGGGCATGGTTCTTAGTCTCACAGAGTTTATGACAGGTGTGCTGTTGTAAGAAAGGTTTGCTCAGCCAGCTGAGCCCCATGGACTAGGGGAAAGACAATGCATCAGCCCGTCACCCCGCCTTTCCTGTTGGCCAGCCAGCATGCCTTCACTTGGCACTGCCCCATCCATGGGGTATACTGGCAGCTCATCTGAGAAGGTTCTGTCAGTTCACCACAGGGAGGGCCCCCCACCCTCTTTTTCCTCTCTTCCCCAATCCCTTCTTGTTGCCTCTCACTCAGGTATACTACATCAACTTCACTGACTTTGCCAGCTATGAGGTGGTGGTGGATGAGAAGCCCTTCCTGCAGTGCACACGCAGCATCGAGACGGGCAAGACCAACTACAACACTTGCTATACCGCAGGCGTCTGCCTCCTTAAGGCCCGGCAGAAGATCGCCGTGAAGATGGTGCACGCTGACATCTCCATCAACATGAGCAAGCACACCACCTTCTTTGGGGCCATCAGGCTGGGTGAAGCCCCTGCATCTTAGATTCCCCCCATTTTGCCTCTGTCCATGCCCCTTCCCTGGGTCTGGGAGCCAGGATTCTCAGAACCTCTAAGTGCTGCTGTGGAGTGAGGTATATTGGTGTTGCAGCCACAGAGAGAAATGCCCCAGTGCTATTTATTCCCCAGTGACTCCAGGGTGACAAAGCCTGCTTGACTTTCCAGAATGACCTTGAGTTAACAGGACAGTGGATGGAGCCCCAGGGTTTACATGAAGCAGAACCTTCTTCTTTGGTTCCATGTTGACGGACTTATGGCATGACTCTTCAACCCCGAGGTCCCTGTGATCAGATCTATTGTTTGTTGCACTAAAATGAAGATCCGGAGCAGCAGGTCCGAGAAAGCAAAGGTGCACTCCAGATTCTGGGGGTGGACATCTGACCCCAAGGCGGCTGCTGCTCCTCTCTTGGGTAGGATGGTGGCAGGGGCAGAGTAGGAAGGGAGCATTGCAGCCTGAGAAGGCCAGGGAGGGAAAGGCAGGTGCTTTTAGCAGAGACCACGAGAGAAAACTGCCAAGAGAGCATCCTTGGCAGTGGGAATGTTCTTTCTGCTCTACACTGTGGCCTGCAGGAGGGTCTTTCCACTCCAGCTGACAGCCACATTGTGGCAGCTTGCTGGGCTTTGGGAAGGGGAAGTTCGCTCTGCCTTGGAATAGTCACAGGGAATGGCCACAAACCTGCCCACATAAGAACCTGAACCTGTACATGGGTCACATGTCTCTCATTTTGTTTACAGCTGTGCTCCACACTCAGAAAACTCCCTGGGGTCCCTTTCCAATTGTCCCCATTCCCAGCTCAACTAGAACTCATGTCTTCTTTCTCCACAGAGCCTACCTCTGTCTGAGACAGGTGCCTAACCTGGAACCTGTGCTCATGTGAGTGGGATATTCTTAGTTTACCTGGGCACAAAGAGAATTTTCCATTTATTAAGCAGTACAAATATTTTTCATCCAATCCTAATCAAATTTTGTCTGGGGACAAAGGGTTGGACTGGATGACCTCCAGAAGTCCCTTCAAGTTCTAATATTTGTGACTCTTAGCAGGTAGCCCTCACCACAGCCTTCTAAATTCCCAAACTGTAGACTGCTCCTGGGCATTAGCAAGGTAGAGGCTTTTTACCTGGCCTAGAAAGGGCAAGAGGTGAGGATAGGACAGGGATTTTGCTCAAGTTTGCTGCAACCTAAGTGGACATTAGGCCAGACCTTACCTGAAAGACCAGCAGGTGATGCAATATTGACCCAGTCTTTCTTCACTCTGGCTTCAAAAAGCCACAGCAGAGCATGGTCACTGCAGATTGCTCATGCTGTTCCCCTGAAGCCAGGCTCAGGAGAAGCCAGTGTCTAGGCACTGGGCAGGGATCTGCTCCCTAGTTCAGGTCCAAATGCGCCTTCCCCTAAACCCCAAGCTTCCCACCAGATCATATGATAGACCCTCAAGGGCCTTACTACAAACTGCCTGGGCTCAGCCTGGCTTCTGGGTGCTAGGTCCAGCCCAAACCTAGGAAAGCCAGCCTTGTACAGTCTGCTCCTCCCGCTCCTGAAATGTGTTTCCTTTTCAGGAGATGGGGAATAAGTTCCTTCAGGCAGCTGAAATCCACCAAGAACAGCAGGTACTTATTTCTCAGCTGTGCCTTCCCTTTCTAAGCAAGGACCCTTCAAGGGTCAGGGTGAGAGGAGATGGGCTGGGCCTCCATTGTCTGGTTGCTAACGACAGCCTTGCAACCCAAGGTGAGGTGAACTCCAGGCATGTATCTGGCCCTAACTCCTATAAAGTGCCGTGGACAGTCTGCAGTTGTAGCAGGAACCCACAAGAACCTCTCCTTCATGTTTGGAAAATAATTTATCTTTTATTATCTCCTTTGAAGAAGGTAAGGCTGATAATATGATAAACATCATTGTTTAGATGAGGCCCAGAAGGGTTAAGTGCATTGACCAATTTAAGTCACAGACCTGGAGCTTCAGCCAGGTCTGACTCCACAGCTGTTCCATTACACCACAGCATTGTATGGAATTTGAGGTCTAGAGAGAACCAGTAAAAGTGGTAATTTGGAACTGAAATCCTTGAGGGTTCTAGGGAGAAACCCAGAGATGCACATTTTTATTCCTCAGTGGTAATACCTGTCCTCTTGGCTGCCAGGGGCTCTGTGGCAAAAAGAGTCAGACATTTCTTTGGGAAACAGCCATCAGCCTTAGAGCTCTTATGTTCAGAAGAATCTTCCTGGCACCATGTTGAAGCAGCAGGCCTCTGGGACCCACAGAACTGGTGGCCTTTATGTTCTTTCACCCATCCAAGGAACCACCCAACCATCATGTGTGGAGCTGCTGATGTGGGAAAGGTCCTTCTTTCATTACCCTACAGACAGCTTAGAGGAGCCAGCCCGGTTCCCACAACTACTAGTGTGACTCCTTATCTCTTTCCTCCATGCCTTAGAGATTTTGATACTACCAGGGTCTGTCAAGGATGGAGGGAAGACCTAAAAGAGGACTGGTTCCGAGGCCAGAGGGGTGTGAGGAGAGAGGAGGAAAAGTCTTCCCAGTTGTGCTACAGACATGGAGGGGATGACAAAGGAAATAGGATTTTCACTGGACTCTTGATTCATTCTGAACCTTCCAAAGGAACTCTAGAGGGCAAGGGATGATGAGGGAAGCAGTAGGTAACTGGGGAGCCCTATTGCTGCTAAGTCATTGGCAAAGTGACGAAGCAATTTACAGATGAGAGAATGTGGAAATAAATGTGCAGTTTGGAATTATGCTGGTGTGAGTTTGCCAGAGGACCCAGGCTAGCATGGAGAATGGGACGAGGCCATCTGTGGGCAAGCAGATGACAGAGATTTGAAGGAGAATTGCATGGCAGGAGTCTCTGCCAGCTACTTGGGCTTCAACAGCCAAGCTGGCACAAAAGACAGCTGGCGGAGACTGCTCGGCTACTGGTTACCCAGAAAAGTAGTATTTGCCTATTTCCCCCTTCATCCATCCTGAGCCAAATTTCTTTTGCTGAACAGGAAAGAGCTAGGAACCCTGGAGGTAAACGAAGACTTTAATCCATTTATGAGTGTGTGTCTTTATGTAACTTCCTGTGGATGCAAATAGATTCAGAGAAATTTAGAGCTAAAGAGGCCCTTAGAGGGAATCTAGCCCAACCTACATTCCACCCTATGTTACTTATGTAGAAACTGAGGCCCAGAGAGAGAAGATGACCTACCCCAAGTGGTGAGCAAGCCCCAACCTCCAGACTCAGCAGAGTGAGGAGGTAGAGCAGTTCCTGTCCCACACGGCTGTCTTCTTTCTTCTACCCACAGACTCCAGGCTGGAAGTGCTTGGCCCCATTCAGGAGCCTGGCCAGGCAGGGAGAGAGCAGCTGCAGCTCTTCCTCCTCCCAAGGCATTCTCCCAGCTCCAGCCTCTAGACTGGAAAGCAGAGACTGGCCCGATACCAGCAAGTCCTTAGGCTACTGTAATGCTGCCTCAGGACCCATCCCTACCTGGAGGCTCCTCTAGGCCCTGTGAGCACAAAGAACAAAGCTGATTTTGTCTTTTAATCAATTTCAGGACTCTTTCCAGGAGGGCTTTCAGTGTGTCATTTCTTTATTCCTCCAGCTGGGACTGGGGGGTGGGCTTTGTCGTGAGAATGGCCTGGAGCAGGCCCAATGCTGCTTTTGGGGGTCAGCATCCAGTGTGAGATACCGTGTATATAAACTATATATAATGTATATAAACTGGGATGTAAGTTTGTGTAAATTAATGGTTTATTCTTTGCAAATAAAGCGCTTTCCCCGTCTGTTCTTGAAATCGGGGTGAGCACTTCCTACATGTTAGGTGCTTCTTTGCAAATGATACCACACATGAGCTAGGAGAAGGACTTAAGACACCCACTTCAGAGGTGGCAACAGAAGGAAGATGGTCTGAATTTCCTTTTGGAACATCCCATGTCCTCTCCATGCCCCAGACCACACTCCTGCATCCCCATTACCTTAGGTCAGGATGTGCAATCTTTTGGCTTCCCTGGGTCACATTGGAAGAAGAAGAAATGTCTTGAGCCACACATAAAATACACTAACATGATAACTGATGAGCTTAAAAAAAATCACAAAAAATTCTCATAATGTTTTAAGAAAGTTTATGAATTCATGTTGGGCCCCATTCAAAGCCATTCTGGGCCGCATGCGGCCTGTAGGCCACAGGTTAGACAAGCTTGCCTTGTCTTCTGTGACCACATGACCGGTAGGCTAGATGTCCTGCCAAAAGAAACATTGTCCTGGGGCAGCGATACACAGAACTGAGTCACTCTCAGCTTAAGAATGTGGTGTCTACAAAAGATACTTCAGGCCTGGGCCCCAAATAGCTTGGGTAAACCCAGCCTCCAACTCCTCATTTTGCAGATGAGGAAACCAACACTTTAAGAAGCTCACCCAGGGTCCCCCAACTAGTAAGTGTGTCAGACTGGTCTGATTCCTTCCCAACCAAGGCTGCTCGTCTACCTTTACCTGGAAAAGTAGTATTTGCCTATTTCCACCTTCATCCATCCTGAGCTAAAATCAATAAGGAAGAGACTCACGGGAAGAAGACCAGATAGCAGCTCAAGAACACGTAGCTCAAGAGCGCTCTGGCACTTTTCACAACCCCAGCAGCCTTTGATCCCTCGCCCCCCACCCACCACCATCGTATAGGTAGAGCAATGTGCACACAGTAGACTGCGACAAACCTGCAATGACCAGGTGTACATGGGCTGGGTGTTGGAGCCCAGGCTGGTCCTCTGGCCACCTTAGAGGTTTTTGTTTTTGTTTTTGTTTTTTTTATTTTAAGGAAACCAGTCACAGGAAAGCTGCAGACTATTTAAAAACACCTTATGGAAGCTCAGGGAAAATGTAATTTCTGGCACAACAAGTAACAAAGACAGCAGAAAAGCGGAAGCATGTCTTTGCCCACTGTATACAAATCATCACATGAGGCAGGCACCCAGGGCAGAGGCAGCAGCTCATACTACAATAAACACACAGGATGTTGTAGACCAAATTGACGAATGTAATGCAGGCAAATCATTGGACCAAATGGCACCCACATGAGAGGGATGGAATGATGGGGCTGTGAGCCAAATTTTGAAGCCTGTCATTGCAACAGCCATTGGACCAAGAGTCAGAGACTTGCCATTCAGAAGGAGAGTTATTTATGGCTGCTAAAAGCCAGGCGTCTCATTTCCATCCTGAGCAGGCTGGCTGACTCTCAAATAAAGGGCAGAATTATAGGGCCAGGCAAGTATAGGCAAGTTGCTGAGGGAACATCAGAGAAAATTAGGCCTGAGCCCAACCTATTCTGTTACAGCTTTATGAGGTGGAAACTGAGTGTGGGCTAGTAGGTAGCAGAGGGTATTTAGGGCACTGTTTGATCAGGGACAGGAAATGGGTAAAATGATTGGAGAAGAAAATGGTTGGTGTAGCTCTCCAGATTACAAAGTTCAATCACATCCAGTATTGTTTGAACTTCCCAATAGCCTTTGAGGTAAGCAGTGGACAGATTGTTAGTCTCATGTGATAGATGAAGAAAGGAGGCTCAGAGGTGACTGATTGCCCCAGAGTCACATGGCTTGAAGTTGGTGGAGCTTGAACTCAAAGCCCACAGGCTCTCAAGGCCCCAGTCCTACAGGAGTCTTAATGCCAGGAGATGGGGCTGTTTGAGAGCTAGAGAAAGAGAGACATGCGCAGGAATCCCAGAGCCCTCAAAACAGAGTAGTTGGTGCACACAGCATATCAGAAGATGGGCTTTTTATTTTGTCCATTGTTTTCCTCAATGCTGGTGCCAAAGCGCCTTCTGGGCACCTCTGCCCTAGGCTCTTCCCTGTTTCTTGGGACTCTCTCTCCTGTAGTTGCAAGAAAAGGGCAGAGAAGAGCTGGAAGGAAAAAGAAATGAAGTGGGAAAAGGAGTGCAGGAAACAAGCAAATGAACAACCAGGACTGGTCGAATCAGGAGCAGGGGCCCCACAGGTGACTTTTGTTCTCCTGTTCTCACTGGGTCCATACCTTCCAGCCAGGCTGAAGGCTGCTGGGGATGTCTGTCAAATTATCTCCAGCTCCTGGGTCTCTGAGATGCCAAACTTGGTCTTATGCTGGTCAAACAGTTTACGTAAGGCTTCAATATAGAGTGCGTGATATTTAGACACAATCTCCTGGCTCGGATTCTCAATCTTGGGCATTTGTAGAGGCTCCCCGACTGCCAGGGGAGACAGTGAAGGAAAAGGGAAAAGCATCAGAATAGCTCATTCCTCAGAATGGACCCCAGGCCTCAAGCCCAGGCTTTTCCCATCCTCACCTCAAAGCTGCCACTCATCCTAGCCAGCCTCCCTGCCTCTGAGCAGAGTCAGAGCTGACGTTCAGCCTTAGAGCTGGATCCTGTGTCCTAGACTGAGGCTGCTGGCAAAAAACGCCCACTCACCGATGGTGGTTACAGGCAGTGCATGGGGCAAAAGGCCCCAGGAGTTCTTGGTGAAGCCACGTCCATAGAAAGCACAAGGGTAGATGTGTACCATTCTCTGGAACCACTTCTGGAAGCGGTTGACAAAGCCCCCAGGAGTGAAAATGTGCTGATCATAGAGGTCTGTCTCTCCAAACGCATAGGTAGGTATTAGAGCCACCCTGCAGAGCAAAAGCATGTCCTGTGAAGCCCAAAAAAGGTAGGGACCTCGTTGAATGCCAGAAACGCTGATGGCCTGTGATCCCTAGATCTGACTACAGGCTTCCCAGACCCCATCCCAGATGTGCCTAGGTCCAAGTTGAGTGTGGAGGCTCCACAGCCTACCCCTGGCTGCCTGTGGGGGCAAAGCAGCAGTAAGCTAAAGGAGGAGGCAAACCCAGACCCTCCTGGGAACCCCTGGGTCTGAAACACTAGAAGGTAAGACCCAAGGGCCAGGCCAGTTGATTTTCTTTGCTTTAACACACAAGCTAAGCTTGGCTCTCTCTCAGACAGGATTGTTGCCAGTCCCCTTGCATAGAGGGACCAGCCCAGATGAGAGGCTGGTATGAGAGAGAACAGGCTTAGGGCTGGCACTTTGACCTTTCTGCTTCAGCAGAAATGCCTCCAGGACCTGGCCCAAGCTCTTCAACCCAGAAGCAGCCTTCCTCCTCCTTTTTTTTTCTTTTAATTATTTATTCTTTAATTGACAAATAAAAATTGTCTTTCTGATGACCATAGTTAATAAGAATGTATTGTATACTTCCTCCTCTCTCTGTGGATGTCCTTTCCTCAAACCCCCTCTTCTTTCCCTGCTACACTGTTGGATCCCCTCCCCCAGCCTGGACAGGAGCTGCCCTTACCCATGCCGAAGGGCCATGCGCACAAAGCCAGACCGGTTCTTCAAGACCAGGGTGGAAGAGCCTGGCAGGCTGTATCTGCACTCAGCCAGACCACCAACCACCACAATGAGCATGTTGCCTGTGCCTTTATGAGTCAGCAGAAAGTCAATGGAGGATTCACTCACGGAGCAAGCCCCTGGGGGATAGAAAAAGCCAAACAGCCATTGGCCACTTCCCAAACCCCTGCATTTCCTCCCTACTGCTTCAAAGGAGGGGGAGCGCAAGGAGTCTCACATCAGGCAGGTGAGCCTATGATAGCTGTTTCAGACCAGAGGGGATCAGAAGCTGGCCTTGCTCTCATGCATCCCCCTATACTTCTCCCTGGGGAGTCATTTTTTCTTTGGCTTTGTCTCCTAGGAGCCAACTCACCTGTAGCCATTATATAGTCTCTCAGGAAAGGCATCCAGAAAAGGGATCCCAGTGTGAGTGCGTAAGGGGTGATGCCAGGAAACATCCTGGAGAAGCCTGAACCCTCTGAGGAAAAGTGGCCAAACCATGTATGTGCCAAAATCCCATGAGGGTGGCAGACGAGAATGTAGTTGCTGTTGGGGGAGATGTCATGAGTCTTCAGAAGCTGTGGAAGAAAGTAGAATCAGGAGGGCTATCCCCAGGATAGAGAACTCCTCTTTTGGTCAGAGACCTGAAAGGAAAAGGACTGCTAGGGCTAGCCATTCAGGTTGCCCAATGTACAACTCCAGGGGGCGTCATTCTCAAGAGCCTCAACGTGGATGACACCCTCCACCCCTAGCCTGACCCAACTGCTAGCACTGAAGTTGGAGCTGGACCCAGGCCTGAGTGGGGACCTGGGGCTACTGACCTTGAGAGGGAAGTAATCACAGTAGTGTTTCCACAGGTGCCAGTTCCTCACACAGGCATACCGGCGGCCACCTGAAAACAGAAGCAATACAGCCAAGCTTTGCCCATTCCCACTGCGGGCCTGCCCCAGGGTGCTCTCACTCCATGCTGTTTCCTGGCCTCTGATGTGGCAACCAAGGTTGGCACATCAGGGCAATTTAGGACAGGCCTAGCTTCTGCTTCACTAGCTGCCCCTCCCTAACCTACTCCAGGTCTGATCTGGGCCTTTCTACCACCTTAAAAGGGCCCCTTCCCTCAGCCTCTCTAGCCCAGGGAGGGACAGGCTGAAGGGTTGCCTGGGAATTGGCCAGAGTCTCTCAGGATTGTGATGAGAGAAGGGGAAAGAGCATGTGACATGTTCGTCACAGCACCAGCAGGACCCTTACCTCGCTCAGGGGTCTTCCAGTCAAAAACCAGCCAGGCGAGAATAAGCACAGTAACAAGCCAGTATTGTGTGAATACCACCAGGTAGAGGTTGACAACGATCGAAGTCATTACTGCAGGAAGCCCAGCCCAAAGTTAATGAATTTCAAGCAGTCCCTCACACTTACCCTCTCTCCGGAGCTCTGTCCACCCCAAGGTCACGCACACTCTCTCTCACCCATGCCCACTCAACACTCTCACTTCTTCATCCCAGCACCTGGCCAACCTGCCCATGTCTCCAGCCCCCTCTCCTATCTGGCCTTGGGAACCTGATTCAGGTCTAGAAGGCAAGGTGTCTCCCTCCCCAGCTGAGCTTCACACTGTAAGCCCTCTCCTTCCTGGGCCCTGCTCCAGCACTGCACTGGGCTCTCTCTGCTGTGTGTTCAATGGCAGTGAACCAGTGGTGGGCTACCAGAGGTGGGGAATCCTGGAACAGTTTTCCTCCAATTCACATCCTCCTCTCTATATCTTCTCTCTGAGGCATCAGTGAAGGGAATACCAGGGAAAGCAAAGACCTATCTTTAGCCCGGTTGGGAGCACACAAGATGGCAAACAAAGAAAAATGCAAACCGGAATAGAATAAGGTACTGGGCAATAAGAGAGGAACACTGCAGGTTAGCATAGTTAGGAAGAGTTACTAGAGATGAGTCATAGGGAGCCACACTCAGAATTATTACTGGACCCAATTTTTAAGGCAGCTGTAGGTAAGATTGTTTGGGAAAGTGGGTCAATAAAAGGTTAGAAAAGACAGAACACTTCTAATTGTACATCGCATGTTGAACACAAGCTTTTGCCTTGAGTTCTTGCTCGAGCTCCATGAAAATTATCATTAAAATGTTTTTTTTTTAATACAGATACACAAGGAGAAAGAGAATTAATGAGATGCCAACAGCAGATAAGAGATATCAGCAAAACATTTGCATGTAGGAAAGCAGATGGAAGAGGGGGTAACTGACTTAGAACAAAAAAAATTAAAATCTAGTTACCTGCAAGGGGGATGCCTACAAGAAGTGAGCCTGTTTGTACTGAAGAATCTACGAAAGACTGAAAATTTGGAGGCATCAGGTGTCACAAGAGGCAGGGATGAGGCACAGGGCTAGCCTCATCTGGAGGATTGGTTGAAAGTCTGCCAAGGAATTAGTTAGAACCCCAGGCTCCCTCTCCTCCTCTACACAGCTGGATGATAGGAGGATTATTCCCTGAAAAATTGAACCAAACAGACTCTAGACTCAAATACTTACACTAGCACAGCTAAGATATTATATATGCAGCCAAATTATTAATCAAGTATAGAAGTGGAATAAAGGCAATTTCAGATACACACAGTCTCAGATAATTTGTCTCCCATGTTCCTGTCTCAGAAAACTACTGGAGAATGTGCTTCACCAAAATGAGGAAGTAAACCAAGAAAGAGGAAGGCATAGGATCCGGGAAAAAAAGGACCCAACGAAGGAAGGCAGCAAGCAGGGCCAGGGTTAGAGAGAGGTGAGCAAGGTGCCCAGGACACAATATTGAGCAAGAAACTCACTCTTGGGCCATGCAAGTACTTGCATAGCCCTGCGAGTGAGCACCTTCTTAAAATTTTGCACCCAAGGCACCTCAAGGACCCTGGAGGTGACAGCTGTGTATGAGGCCAAATTGTAACAGGAAGACGCTGGGTTCCAGCAGCGATGTGCTCAAGGAAATGAAAGGATGCGGGGACTTAGATTCTTGCCGCGTGTGCCCATACCGAGAGATTGACATGTCTGCAGACATTCAGAAGATGAATTCATGATAATAGATTTCTAATAGATAACAAAAGAAATGTAAAATCAGGCAATTAACTACAATACATTTCAGTGTATGGTATGGCTACAACTGGACTTTCTTTCTGAATGAAATGAATGATTTTCCTAATACTTGTGGTAAGAAACCCATCTCCTATATGGCTTTAGGATGTTTCACTATGAAATGTGAAATTTGTGTGTCTGTTTCAAGAACATTGTACTCAATAATTTTTTTATTGCTCTGTTGCCCAGGTTGGAGTACAGTGCCATGATCTAAGCTCACTGCAACCTCCGCCTCCCAGGTTCAAGTGGTTCTTGTGCCTCAACCTTCCCAATAGCTAGGATTACAGGCATGGACCACCATACCTGGCTAATTTTTGTATCTTTAGTAGAGACGGGGTTTCCCCATGTTGGCCAGGCTAGTCTCGAACTCCTGAACTCAGGTGATCCGCCTGCCTTGGTCTCCCAAAGTGCTAGGATTACAGGAGTGAGCCCTCTCCCAAGCTGTACTCAGTAATTTTATCTGTGAATTCTAGAGTTTGTGAAGCTTTTTATGTAACAGTTTTCTGCCCATCATTTCATAGGGAGCTTTCACAACTGTGCTGCCTCTTCTCTAGTCTCAACTGCTTCTTTTTCTAGATAAATTTTGAAATTATTTTGTCAAAGTGCAATGATGATACTTCTAGGATTGGAATTAGGTATTTTTAATCCTTATGTTAAGTGGAAAAAGTTTTATTTCTGTGAAATATTTAGTATATAGATTCAAAAACTGATTTTAAAATATTACATTAAAAAATAAAATAAAATGAGGTAATTATTAACTTCAGGGAAAACAAGAAATTCCATGGGAAAGGAAATATAATCTTGATGAATAAATAGCTCAATTATGAATCATATTTTCTAGTCATAGGCATTTAACCAAACCCCGTGGTATAACAATTTTGGGAGGATAGAGGAAGAGGACGTTCTAGTGATAGTATATACAGCCAAATTCTAATCTTCCCTATTAGGAAGTCAATAGACAATGTCTAAAATTGTTACATCAGCAAATAATGATTTAGAAATGTGGAAGTAAATTCCAGAAGAAAGAACCAACAAAGTTGGAAAGCATTGCCTATGGGGAAGAGAATTAAGGGTGGAGCAAAGGCCAGCAGTTTTAAGGTTTTGATAAGCACCATATGACACTACTGACTTCTTCAAGAAGTAAAGAGAGGCATGGGTCTAGTCCAGAAGACACTCCCAGTTTCCTTTAGGCTTTGCTCAAACTTAGGCTGGTGACATCTTGTAAGTGTGGCCTCAGGTGGAGTGCCCTGTGATGTGATGAATCTTGGATCTACCACTTAATGTGTGTGACCAAAGACGTTGCTGAACCTCAGTTTCTCCTCTGCAAGATGGGAACTAAAATACCAATATCCTCCCTATTTTCCTGACTTATTGGGAGGGCCTTCTCTCAAGGCCTTTAGGGTCCAAATGGATTCAATTGCACTCCTAGACCGAAGAGCTGAGAGGCCTCTGAAGGGCCATTGCCCCAGTCGCCCTATGTGAGCTAGTGAGGAAGGGGCAAACACCTGCAGCCCACATCTGCTGCCAAGACCAAGAGCTCTTCTGCATGTCCTTTCTGTACCTGTTTGTATACCCCAAAGTCAAACTCCAGTTAAGAATCCTTTGAATCCATTTTCTCCCTGGATACATAGCCACTCTCCTCTTTAACCCTTCTCTGCTCCACTTGCCCCCCTCCCCACCAGCTCACACTGGGACCTGATCCCTCCGTTTTGCTTCCTCCATTTCTCTCATGCCCCCCATCTTCAAATCCTATTAATTCTACTCCAATTTCTTGAATCTCCCCTCTTCTTTACTCTTCTCTGCATCACCATCACTACTGGCCTGGTCCAAATTACTGCCATCTGTCATAAATGGGCAGTTGACAGAAAAAGAATTACTAATTGCTGATAAACATGAAAAGATGTTCAATCTCATCAGTAATTAAGGACGTTCAAAATGAGGTGACAGTTCATGGTTTCTTGCCTATCACTTCTGGGTGGAGGTAGTAAGGACTGCAGATGAGTTCTCCATTCACTTTCCCTCCCACACTGCGGTAATCCCTCAAGCCCCATTTTGCAGTGACACAATTTGGTGGTGCCGCCATCAGCCTGAATATTAGTGTCCACAGTAAGCAGTGACTCCCACCAACCTCTGTTGGACATTCAACATGAACAAGAAATAAACATTTGTTGGGTTAAGCCACTGAGATTTCAGGGTAAATTTATTACCATGGCATACCTAGACCATCCTGATTAATACATCCTAAATTCTCCCACTTTGCAAATGAGGAAAATAAGACCCAGAAAGGCTAAATACCTTGCTAACAAATGCACAGATAGTAAGTAGTAGACCTGGAATTTGAAAACAGGTGAGGTGAGGTTAGGAATGCCTGCCCTCCCTATTCACTGGCATGCCTCTGTGCCTGCTCTGTGCACCAGGGCCTACCTGCATTCTTTATTCCCAGATAGCTTACAAGATCACTTAATTCATGTCCCTGACTCTAGCTGATACTCATGTGAACCGCTAGAAAGGCGGTAATGTTTTCCAGGACCCCTTCCCACAGTAATGATTTGTTTCAGCATTTAGAACACAGTGGTCAGCATAGAAATGACTTTCACAAAGTGTTTGTAGTGTAGATGTTGGAAGACATGGATGGATAAATGGTTGAATTCCTCTGGATGAGGTTTCCAGAGCCTTGGTCTGCCACCTGGCCCAACTGTCTCTCGCTGGTGGTTTTTTTGAGTCCCTGTCATTGCAGCTAAGCCCTTTTCCTTGGCTAGCCTCAGTGGAACTGCTCCTCATCTTCCCAAAACATGCTTTCTACACCCCAGTGTAGACCCAAGAGGGCTCACACTTGCAGCAAAGCACATGTGCACACACACGCATATACACACCCCTGCATAGGCACACATCCATATGCACACATACATGCCCACAAGGACACTCACAGAGCCCACAGATACCATGGCCAAGTGGGTCAGGCCAGAGGCTGGTGTAAGCAACCTTCCTGGTTTCACTGGAAAAACCTTAGCTTGACCATTGAACATCCTGCAACCCTAAAATCCTTCAGTCTCAGGCAAGCCAGGATGATTGGTCACCCTACCAAAGGCTGAAGACTCACCAATAAGTAAGGCACTGAGGGCCCACTGGAAAACAGCAAACACCTCCAGAGCAGTCTTGAGGTCCTTCTTAGAGGGCAAGAGCATTGTGCCCAGGGTTCCAGTGGCTCCAGGTAAGCACTGTTCCACTGCCCAGCCCTGATTGCTCAGGAGTCTGTGATGTTTCCTCTCTTCATGTTTTCTTCCCCAACCCCTACCTGGTCTCCGCCCCTGTACCACCCCTCCACAGAATTACAGGACCATATAATGCCTCTTCTTGTCTAGTTTCTTCCAGCTGCCCTCCCACCAGTACTTTTACCCATGGCCTGGACTGAGATTGTGACACTCACTTGAACACCTGGCTAGAGAAATGTGGATGAAGCCCTGGTGTGGGAAGTGAGTAAGTGTGGGTGTGCAGCTGGCAAGAGGCCTCCAGGGCCAGTTTGGATGGTGGAACGTGATGGTCAGGAAGGAGCCCAGGGCTCAAATGGGACACAGGACTTGCATTTCTGTTTCTGAGGCCCAGCTGTCTATGGTGTCTCAGTGACAACATGATTGGAGGGCAGAGGGAAGGAGGTCACAGGCCAGGCCTTAGAAATACCTTCAGCTTTTTGGTCTGTCTGGGAGAACTCATTACTCACATTGAAGAGACATCACATGTATGTCTGTGAGCTATCATAGGTACTGGATAAATCTGTTATTGAATGAAGAAACAAATGTTAGTACATATTATTCTGTGCACATGAAATTTTAGAATAGGCAAAACCAATCTAGTGAAACAAATCAGAGCAGTGGTTATCTGTGCTGGGGTATTCACTAGGAAGGGGCATGATGGAAATCTTTAGGGGTAACAGTGACGTTCTCTATCTTGATAGGGCTTTGAGTTACACAGATCAAAACCTCATTACTCAGTGAGTATACACTTAAAATTTGTATATTTCACTGCCTGTGGATTTTACCACAATAGTAAACAAATGTTGAACTCTCATTCATTCTGAAGTGTTTAGGGGTAAAGAATACTATGGTGGAGGGCATGGCAGCGTACACGTGTAATCCCAGCACTGTGGGAGTCCAAGGCAGGAGGATCACTTGAGTCCAGGAATTAGAGATTACAGTGAGCTATGACTGTGCCACTGAACTCCAGCCTGGGTGACAGAGTGAGGACCTGTCTCTAAAAAAACAAAACAAAAAAAAAGAGTGCTGATGTCTGCAATTTACTTAGAAATGCATGTAAATATATTGATGGATGGATAAAGGAATGTATTGATGGGTAAAGATATAATAAACAAAACATGGCAAAATATCTGTACAATCTAGGTGGTGGGTGTTCACTGTACAATTCTTTCAACTATTTTGTAGGTTTGAATTTTTTTATAATAGAATTTTGCAAAAAGAGCTCCCTCAAGGTCATAATAAGAAATAAATTTTACAGGCTGAATACAGTGGCTTGCTCTTGTAATCTCAGCTCTTTGGGAGGCTGAGGTGGGTGGACCACTTGAGGCCAGGAGTTCAAGAGCAGCCTGGTCAATATGGCAACACCCCATCTCTACTAAAAATACAAAAAATTAGCAGGGCGTGGTGGCATGTGCCTATAATCCCAGCTACTTGGGAGGATGAGGCATGAGAATCACTGATAGAATGAATGAGCAAAGTAGGTCAGCGTAGGAGAACGGTCAGGAACAAGGTAGGGGCAGCACAGAAACCAGGCCTGAACAGAGCAGGAAGCTTAATGGACAGGTGGGAGGATGAGGAAAGAATAAACCCACAGTGACCTATTCGAAAGCCCCCAGTGAGGTTGGCTCCTTGTTGCCCAATCTGCTATATCTCCTGAGTCACATTCCAACACCTACAGTCCAGTGATACAATCCCTCATTGGCAAATTCTAGGAAGACAGTTATCCTCTAGATGCCCAGGAGCTGTAATCCCAGGACAAGAGGAGATGATTTCCTCACATCCTCTCTGCTTAGATTCAAAGAACAACATGTGCTATTCTGTCTAGTTAGGACAACTTGGTTATAATGGCTTATGCTTGACAATTTCTCAACAGCCCTTGAGCTCACTGGAAACTTCCCTCTAATATAGGCTAGAAACTCAATCCAGACAGGCACTTAGGGCTCATTAAAATCTGAACTAATGAATATGCTGATTACTATGGAAACTGCCATCTCTGGTGACCTGTGAAGTGGAGAAGAAATAAGGGTAAAAGGGTGGATGTGGGGATACGGAATGGGGAACAGGAGTTGGGAGGTAGGGACTTGGGTATGGTAGAGGGGAGGAACTGCCATTTGTTACTGGCTTCTTTGGTGCAAGGCAGTGAGCATTGCATTTCACATACATTTGATCATCACAGCCCCCTGGAGGTTAGGCACTCATTCTCTTCTCCACCCACCTCACTGACTGGCAAAGCATAACCATTAATCAACAAGATGGGCCTATCACCATTCCTAGTGCTTATTATTGGAAGAGTTAACCTTGAACTCCCTGCCATCTAATCCTTAACAAAAGCTCACTTGTGAGAAATGATATTCATAGAGAGATGCTTGAAGAGCAGGCTGCTCATCCATTGCTGGAGACACGTGACTTTTAAAGGCAAGGCCTGTGCTTCGGAAGTTGGATCATAATCTCCAGATGGGAGAGTGTGTGTTGGGGGAGTAGGCTTCAGTGCAGAGCTGGAAAAGGCACATTCGATATTATAATAACTATGGCTTCCTTAACACAAACTACAGACAGGAAAGCTCAACATTTGCAACGCTGGTTTTTCTGCACTTTAGGCCACAAAAACAAACCCACGCAATGGGGTTCGACATTCAGAGGGACCTGTCATTCCTTCTGCGGAATCTGAAAAAGCAATCTTGATTGCAGCAAACAAGCAGACTCTACATGACCATTGCTATAACACTACCAAAGTCCAAAAGATGTCTCTTTTAGGATCAGCATAATGGTTTTCTAAAATTATCATTGCTTTGATTCATTTTAAGTCACAGTATTTAATTTCTTTAAAACATGCAAATGCCAGTAGGGAGAGTGTGAAATAGTTGCATTTATTTAAAATAAGATAGAAGAAGATGGAATAGACATCCTTTGCCTTATTCATCTTGCTATTACAACTAAAAACTCTGGACATTATATACAAAACAAACATAAGACTCAAAAAGGTGGAAAGAAGGCAGACGACCACATAGGGTCTTCAGATGGGAAGAATGACATGAATTTTGTTTTTATTTCATATATCTTAGACTTGAAGTTAAAGAAGCCAGCAACCAAAAATACACTAACAGGCACAGACAAAAAGAGTCCCAATCAAATCCTGTTTTCTCTAGCCAAAGGACTAGGAATGAATTAGCCTAGCAAGACAGAAAACTTTTAGACAATAATCTCTCTATGCCAGTGATAACCAGAGAAAAAACAACTGTAGCCCCTACCAGCAAAGACTGAGTGGGGAGCCTAGATTTCCAATAATGGTAAAAGGATGCCTATACCAAGACAATATCGAGATCCTAAAATGTATAGGATTTGCAACAGAGGTGCAAAATATATAAAGCCAAACCTGATAAAACTGAAAGGAGAAGTAGAAAAGGCTATAATTACAGTCAGAGACTTCAAAACTACTCTCTCAACAATAAACATAAGAATTAGACAGAAAATCAGCAAGATATAAAAGAAGTCAACAACATAATGAGCCACTGGGATCTAAACAGCATTTTTAGAACACCCAACTGTAGCAAAACACGCATTCTTTAAAGTGCCCATGGAACATATATTAAGATAAGCCATATTCTGGGCCATAAACGAAACAAACCTCAACAAATTTAAATGAATTGAAATCATATAGAAATGTGTTCTCTAACCACAAAGGAATCTGTGTTAAGCTATTCTGGCATAGCTATAAAAAAAAAAAAAAATACTGGATGAGTGCAGTGGCTCACACCTGTAATCCCAGCACCTTGGAAGGCCAAGGCAGGAGGATCACTTGCTGTCGGGAGTTTGAGACAAGGCTGGCCAATGCGGCAAAACCCTATCTCTACTAAAAATACAAAAATTAGCCACTAGAGGCTGAGGCAGGAGAATCACTTGAACCCAGGAGGCAGAGGTGGCAGTGAGCCAAGATCACGCCATTGTACTACAGCCTGAGTGACAGAGCGAGACTCTGTCTCAAGAAAGAAAGAAAGAAAGAAAGAAAGAAAGAAAGAAAGAAAGAAAGAAAGAAAGAAAGAAAGAAAGAAGAAAGGAAGGAAGGAAGGAATTAAGGGAGGGAGGAAGGGAAGGAAGAAAGGAAGAAAGAAAGGAAGAAAGAAAGAAAGAAAGAGAAAGAAAGAAAGAAGGAAAGAGAAAGAAAGAAAGAAGGAAAGAAAGAAAGAGAAAGAAAGACCTGAGACTGGGTAATCTATAAACAAAAGAGAAAAGAGGTTTAATTGGCTCATGGTTCTGCTGGCTGTACAGGAAACATAACAGCTTCTGCTTTTTGGGGAGACCTCAGGACACTTCCAATCATGGAGGAAGCAGGAGGAAGAGAGAGATGGGGAGAGGTGTCACACAATTTTGAACAACTAGATCTCACAAGAACTCACAATCTCCAGAATAATACCAAGGGGATGGTACTAAACCACTCATGAGAAATCTGTCCCCATGATCCAATCACCTCCCACAGGTCCGTCTCCAACATAGGAGATTACAATTCAACATGAGATTTGGGCAGGGATGCAGACCCAAACCATATCAGAATCAAAGTAGAAATTATTAATAGACAACAGGAAAACCTACAAACACTTGGAAGATAACAACTCACTTGTAAATAATCCATGGGCCAAAAAGTCTCAAGGAAAACCAAAAAGAACATTGAACTGAAGGATAATAAAAACTAAACATATCGGCCAGGTGCTGTGGCTAATGCCTGTAATCCCAACACTTTGGGAGCCCAAGGCAGGTGGGTCACAAGGTCAGGAGTTCAAGACCAGCCTGGCCAAGATAGTGAAACCCCATCTCTACAAAAAATACAACAAATTAGTCGTGCTTGGTGGTGAGTGCCTGTAATTTCAGCTACTCAGGAGGCTGAGGCAGAGAAGTGCTTGAACCTGGGAGGCGGAGGTTGCAGTGAGCCGAGATGACGCCACTGCATTCCAGCCTGGGTGACAGAGCAAGACTCACCCATCTCAGAAAGAACCAGTTAAAGTAGTACTGAGAAGGAAGCTAAGTTCACACATTATAAAAAGAGAAAAAGTCTGAAATCAATTACCCAAGCTCCCACCTCAAGAACCTAGCAAACGAAGAACTAAACCAAAAGCAAGCAGAAGGAAGGATATAATAAACAGCATAAATTAATGAAATTTCAAACAGAAAATCAATGGGGAAAATCAATAAGACAGTATGCTAGTTCTTTGAAAAGATCAATAAAATTGACAAATCTCTAGCAAGACTGACAAAGAACAAAAGAGAAAACACAAATTACCAGTAAAGCAGGGAATATCACAATAGATCCTCCAAACACCAAACAATAAAAATGGAATGCTACAAATAACTCTATACACATAAATCTGACTACTCAGAAGAAATGGACCAGTTCCTCAAAAAATACAAGATACCAAAATTCACTCAATATGGAATACATAATTTGATTAGTCCTATTAAGAAAAATTATTTTTTAATTTTAAAACTCCCAAGAAAGTGATCTCTTGGCCCTGATGGTTTCACTGGAGAATCCTACCAAACGTTTAAAGAAGAATTATTACTGATTTTACACATCTCTTTCCAAAAAATAGAAGAGAGAACACTTCCCTTCTCTTCTTGTAAAGTTAGTACTTAACCTGATACTAAAACTAAACAAAACAGTACCAAAAAAAGAAATCTGCAGACCAATACCTCTCATGAATGTAGATTTTTAAATCCTTTTTTAAATTAGCAAAAGAATTCCTCAACATATAAAAATAATGAAAAACTATGACCAAATGGGGTTAATTTCAGAAATGCAAGACTAGCTCAATACTTAAAAATCAATCACTAGGCGTGGTGGCTCACGCCTGTAATC